CTCTCTATTTATCTGCTGTGGCCTGCCTTGCCAGTGCTGGGGGGGGTTCTGTTTTGCTCTTCTGGTAGTTCTTTGATTGGCATGTTTACTGCTTGATTGTATGTGTGGTGATAATCTTGGTGTTAATCTCTGCTTATCTGGGTGATGATTGCTGGTGAGGAGATGTTCTGGTCTTTTGTTTCCTTGTTATTGTCTCTTTTGAATGATGTGTAAACGTGGTTTATCTCTATGTGCCTGTTGATGGCTGCCTTGTCTGAATACCAAGCTTCCAGGAATTCCCTTGCATTTTTGGATTTAGCTTGGTCTAAGATGCTGACAGTTTCCCAGTTAAAACTATGGTTCACTCTGTCCATGTGTTGTGAGATTAAGGAGTTGTCATCATGTCTTCTGACTGTTCGTTGGTGTTCATGGATGCGCTCTGCTAGGCTTCTGCCTGTCTGTCCTACATAGTGTTTGTTACAGTCCTTACCCTGTATGTTGCAGATGGCTCCTGATTTTTCTTCTTGGGTTTTTATTTAGGTTGTGTCCAAAAATACCTTTATGGCTGTCACCACCAGAAGCATATTATAGAAGAGAAATGATACCTAAGCATAAATGGTTAACTTACGGTGATATGCTGAAATTCCTCCAGGGAGGCTTCAAAATAAAATCAAGAGAGGATTTGATACCAGAAGGATATGTATGTCAGTGGTTTTCCTATGTACAATTACTAGAAAGATTTAAAATAGATCGAAGAACTTTTGGTTTTGAACATGGTAAGACTGAGTTTGAAACAGAATTATGTACAAATGATGAACATGTTACTGCTAACATGTATAAACTTTTATTGGAATTTGAAACAGAAGATGAACAAGTGAAAGAATGTATAATAAAATGGGCTAAAGATTTTGGGTATAATATACAAATGGAACAATGGGAGAAAATATGGATGAAAGGACTGACATTTACATTGTGTTATAATAAAAGAATTTTTATAAAATGATGTACTGTTGGTATTTGTTGCTGGAAAAAATTGTCTAAAATGTATAAAGGTACTTTGAATGTATGTTGGAAATGTGAACAAGAGGGGAGTTTTAATCATGTGTGGTGGACATGTAAAAAAGCTAAAAAAATTTGGACTCAGATATATATATTAATTCAGAAGATCTTAAAGATTAATATACAATTGAAACCAGAGACATCTCTTTTGGGACTGATGGATAAACAGATGGAAAAAAACCATGGAACTTTGTTTTTATACATGATAACAGCAGCAAGACTTCTGCACAACGATGGAAAGATTTGACATTACCTACAGTGGGAGAATGGATGGCGAAATTGACAGAGCTGGCTGAGATGGCGAAACTGACTACTTCGATTAGAGAAAAGACACTGATAAATTTTAACGCTGATTGGAAACCCCTTTTGGACTTTTCGCGTGAAACAGAGAAAAAAATGAAATCATGATATATGGATTTGATGATTAGGAATAATAGTAGACCATAGAAAAAATGGAAGTTATGTTGTCAACTTAAAGTAAGAGCTTGAAGAAACTTTATACGCATATCTGTTGTAAAAGAAAGTCGGAAGTCATTTTTCTTTTGCATTTCTTTTTCTTTCTGCACTTTTGACCTTGTCTTCTTTTTCATTCTTTACCTTTTTCTCTCTTCTACTTTTTCTCTTAATTAGTCACGCTTTAGCTTTTATCTCTGTATTTTAAAAATCTAATAAAGTTATTTAAAAACAAAGAACGAAACTTGTCTGCTTTATGCTCCTTGATTGGGCAACTATAATTATAGATTTGAGTATATTTTAGGGTCAGATAACCATGTAAGCGTGTAGTGATGTCTGCATATGCCAGTGTTGTCCAAACTTGGCCACTTTAAGAGGAGTGGACTTCAACTCCAAGAATTCCCCAGCCAGCATGGCGGG